CTCCCATGCCTCTCCCCATGCAAAAATCCCCCAGCAACCTCAGGAGGAGAGGATGCAGTGGTGTGAGGGCTCTTCAGCCTGCTCTTCTCTTGGAGAAGATATGTGTTTCAAGCAGGAATAAAACGAGCCCTTTAAGTTACCATTTCTCAGAAGTAGGTACGTTACTGACAAGGTCTGGGCTGCAATAGAGTGATAAGTGGGTTGATATTTTTTAAAGGTTTGGTTACAAAGAGTCTTCTTGCAATAGCAAGGCTTTTCTCCAAGTGCTTTTCAGTTTTATATGCAATCCACCCTATCTTTGACATGACTATTATATTGATGCTTAAAGGTATCAGACTCCCGATGCTTTTGATTCCTCAGGACTCATTCTTATATTGGGTCTGAGTGACCTGTTGATGATAACAGAAGCCCACAGTGTGCAGCCCTGCATTTTCATCTTTCTTACATAGTTATTTAAAAGGAAGAGCCCAAATCATGGGCTTTATTTTAAACTCAGTCAGAACTCTTACTGACTTAATTGAGAATACGGTTGGAAAAGGACAGACTATAAAAAGAATAAAAATGAGTTAAATGAGGACTTGGCCAGACAATGCAGGAGAAAAAAAATTAAACAAAGCAAAAATAAAGCCTACGTCCGATTCCTAGACAAAGCTACCGAGAAAGTTGTGATTGGTCACTATGGCAACAGATTTCTAAATGGAAATAAAGTGCTTTTAATACTGCAAGCACATTTTTCTGTACAGATCTAGCAAATGAACTCAGACCTCATTAAAGTGAATATAATTTTACAATAGGTATTATATAGAATGTCAGAAGCCCCAATACATAGAGAATCAAAATATAAATAGCTATAAGCCGTGGATGTTTTTGCCATATTAGTGGTTTAGTCATTCAGAGGCTCAGGAGGTAAATGCTGACATTAGTTATTTTCTTTCCACAGGGAGTCTTTTAATAACCGGTATAAATCAAGGCAACTGTAAGCTTAAATGGGAAATATTTGCTTTTGTTTTCTTGGCTTTTATACTAATGGACTCGGGCTGGTGAATCTACATATTGAGATCTATTCCACGGTGTAAGGGTTCATTTGTGCATTCTCACTTCTCACCCACTTTGCTCCCCACCCATCACCAAGGCGTCGAGGCCAAGCCAGCCTTGCATCATCCCCACAGATTTTGGATGCCTGTCAACAGGAGCTGGAACTCCTGCAAGATTTGTCCAGTACTGTACCGATAAAATCAGCATCTAACACGCACATTCTGATTTAGACCAACGGAACCATATTGTCATTTCCACACCTAAGTCCCCTTCAGGGAAGGTGGATGCAATACTGGGGAGGAGGACAACCAACCAAAGACAGACACTGAGGTGATGGAGCAGGTCCAGAGAAGGGCAACGGAGCTGGTAAGGGGTCTGGAGACCAAGTCTTGTGAGGAGAGGCTGAGGGAGCTGGGGGTGTTCAGCCTGGAGAAAAGGAGGCTGAGGGGAGACCTTCTCGCTCTCTCCAACTCCCTGAAAGGAGGGTGTAGCCGGGGGGGGGTCGGTCTCTTCTCCCAAGGAACAGGCGATAGGACAAGAGGAAATGACCTCAAATTGCACCAGGGGAGGTTCAGATTGGATATTAGGAAAAATTTCTTCATGGAAAGGGTTATCAAGCCTTGGAATGGTCTGCCCAGGAGAGCGGTTGAGTCACCGCCCCTGGAGGAATTTAAAAGACTGGTAGATGTGGTGCTTAGAGACATGTTTTTTTCAGTGTTGGGTTGATGGTTGGGCTAGAAGATCTGAAAGGTCCCTTCCAACCCAGACAATTCTATGATTCTGTCCTGGCGCAAGATGATGGTGGAGCCACCACAGACCTGCGTTGTCCTTGTCCCTCACCGCTGCCTCCAGCCTTGTCTGTGACACGCTGCTTATTTCCTGGTATCTCATCTTCCCTCCCCACACATTCCACCCTTTTGGAAGATTTTTATTCTGGCATCTCTTCAAATGTAATCCTTCAGAGCAGGAACAGTCTTAACCCTAGGCTGCCTGATGGCTGTTCAAAGAACACCGGTACAGCTTCTGCTGTAACGTGTTCCTTCATACATTGATATTTTGATCCAAAAAGATGAGCATTTTAGAGCAGCTGCAAAACTGGAGATCCTTTCACACTTGGGCTGTTTGCCCGTCCTAAAACCCCTGTGGCTTTAGGGAAGAACTCGGTCTGTAGGAACTGTCTCACAGACACCGTCTCAGCTCTTCGTGGATCTCACTTGGGCAGGGGAGGCCAAACTTGCTGGGAAGAGCCTGGTGAGAATGTCTCATCCCTGGCCAAGCGCTGCGGGAGCTCAGCCCCAGCCAGGGAGCGCGGCCAAGGAGCGGGCAGGCGGGCATGGGAGCGGGCAGGAGAGACACAGCCCCCGGGAGGGCAGTGAATTACTGCTGTCTGGCGCCCGTGAAGGAACACTTGTCTTTAGAGAACTGCTTTCCACAGGCTTCATTGAAACCCATAGTCCGTGCCTCGCTTCAGAGGGAGAAAAGAAGTGGAAGAGATTCACATTTTAAGTTTGGTTGCAAAATCCCACTGTTTTAAATCCTGTCGGACACTGTGCCATCAAGCTGCAAAAGTATGAGAAGAATTTTCCACTCGGCATGGACAGGCAAGGTTTGTTCCTTTCTATGCCTTGAACACACTGTCCACCTGATTTTAGTTTCTGACTGTGTACATGCACTCTGTTTACAACACCTAAGCCCTTTAAATCAAAGAGGATCTACAAGCTTTGTGCCTCAGCAAATGTGGTGTTTGTTTTAATTGTTATGTAGAATAAGTGCATTTCGTGCCTACTTTTCATAGGACAAGCAGCTAAACATTATATTATCTTAGTAGTAATTTTTGAGACATTATTCCTTATTTTAAAACATTCTGAATACAACAGCCAACACCTTAACACCCAACCCTGAGTTTCTGGGCATCTTAATAAATACCCTGATAGCAGGAGTTGGAATGATGTGCAGGAATGAAGGAAACGGGTCCCTGGGGCTGAAAATGGAAACAGAGGGCATAAAAGCCAAACCAAAACCCAAGGAAGGACGGGCTAAGATTTTGCCACAAAGCCTTCGGGCAAGAAGCTCCATGAGAACAAGAGTCAGCATTGTTGGCATCAACCTTTGGTTTTGTAACAGGCACATACCTTAGGGCTTAAGCACCTCATTTGATCCATATTTCTAAATTACACTTGCTTTACTGTGAACAAAACCAGAAAGCCCCAACTCTCAAAGATACACAGGTTCCCAGCTCCTAGGAATTTGTCTTCCAGGGAGCTGGGAGTTTTATGCCTAAATGCCTTTGAGGATCTGGGACTGTTTTTCTCCCCCATCCCTGGCAAATGAGCACAAAGGTGGAAAACATGCTAAAGAACAAGAGGAGGATTCCAAACTACTGGTACTAAGAAGGTTTCAGTTATCCAGCCACAGGGATGAACTCACAGAGAGGACTTTTCTCAAAGGGTGATTTGCAGCTGAGCACCTGGAGAAAATAGTTTGCACCTGGCACAGCTAAAAAGCTTTTGCCTTTTTTTTTTTTTTTAAACTAATAAGTAAAGCAAGCAGCACAGGGAAGATTTATGCGATCTTCACACTCAGAGTCAACATCCCAGCAGAAGAAAATCAGATAAAATATAGCAACGGCTAAAGCAAGGCAGGAAGATGTACAGCAGGGGGAAAAAAATTCAATATTAATATCAGCGAAAGGATGTGTGATGCAAATAAGTGAGAGGGCTATGCTTAACCCGGGTCGGGACCCCAGACAGGGGAGATGCTGGGCAGCGGGAGGGATGCTCGGTGCGGTGCTGCCGGGAGGGAGGCAGCGTGGGCAGGAGGCTCTCCCTGATGCTGCAGGGGCTCTGAGGGCCACAGCAAAGCCAGAGGACGGCAATCACTGCCACCACAGCATTTTTACAAGCGTGCCCTCTTCAGAAGGGATGAAAGCGTGGGATTAACTCAAGGATCGTGCTTTTCTGCCTCGGGCCCACAGATCTGACGTTCAGTATGTTCTCCTCCTTAACACGTAGGGCTTTGGAGTGGGGCAGACAGCTCCTCAGAAAGGCTGCTGCTTGAGCAACCAGCTTTAGCCAACCACCCACTGGGCCACTGCGAGGGCAGGGCTGCAGCCTCACTAGCCAGGCCTGCCCAGCCACTGCAAGGCTCAGAGCTGGAGCTCACAGGCAACTTTTTGAGGTCCCCTTTGTCAGCGTGGGGTGAGAACCTTTGTAACCAACCCCCCTAAAGCCACAGGGGCCTCTATTGCCCCTCGCCATCCCCATCCCTGCCAGCATGGCCTTTGGGACAGGGTTGCTGCAGAGCAGGCAGGCTGCCATGGAGCTGCCAGGCTCTTCCCTCTGGCGGCTCCTCCACCGCTCCGCTTGCATCACCCCCGCTCTTTCGGAGCCTTTCGCCTTTCCCTGGCTTTCTGCCTGCCCCAGCGTAGAGTTCAGGATGTTAGTTTTCACCTCCAAAAGCTCTGCTCGAGCTGTTCCCACCACTGCTGTGAGTTATGGAGCTGCCAACAGATTATTGCTCTACATCAGCAAGTGCCAGTGAGGGGGCTCCTCAGGAGACAAACTCCACACAGCCTGCCAGCACACCTTTTATCCTGTTCTCCTTAAGCCTGTCTTTGTCTTCTACAAGCATATTCATACATGCTCCTGTGCCACCAGTCATCCTTCTCATACCACCACCCTGATAGCATTCATAAACTCACCTCCAGGCAGCTTTCCCTGGCTCAGTGATGCCCGACCCAACAAAAAGCACAGCCCCGACCCAGCAAAGGGCACAGCCCACTGAAATCACTGCAAATACTCCCCTTGACCTCAGTGGGCTCCAGAATAAGCCTGTGAGAACCCTGATGGAGAAGGTCCTCAGCAGCCCATCTGAAGTCAGTCCCATCACCTGAAGTGTGCACCCTGAGAAGGTTCTCTGCTCTTTTCTCCTGCTCCCTGGGCCCCTTCACACCTGGTTCTTCTCACCTGTTGTACCCATTGATGAGGGGCAGATCCATCCTCTTTGTGTGGCCTCTGGCTTGTCCTATGAGCAGGAGCATGTTGTGGCACTGTGTGGAGCAGGAGGAAAGCTTAGGGGTGGGAGTTGTCTCCCTGGTAAAAAAAGGCCTTTGAGTTAACTGGGTAATTTAGATAATTGACCCCAAATGTGGAAACCAGGTTTTCTTAGCAGATACAGTGTGTGAGTCCACAGTGCCCATCCCAGTGGCCTCAGGTCTAACTGCTAAGTATTGTAAATGCTCCTCCTGTTATTTATACTGAGCAAGTGATGGGCTATTGTTTCACAGCAAGATGTTCAGAATATTTGGCAGCCCTGGGGCTTGGATGACAACAGTTTTGACTTTCAAAATCAAACTGCCACCTTGTGGTACGGTGGGGGAGAAGCCTGTAGGAAATTCCACGGATAGCAGAAATTTAGAGACATAGTGAAAACTGGTCCTTTTGCCTCGCCAATGACTTACAGCACTTATGTATTATCAAATTATTTTTTACTATACTTCAGGCACATTAATAAAAATTCTTATTTTGTGCTTTAAAAAGTCAATCTAATTTTTTTGTGATTGCCTATGTAAAACATAAAACCATTTCCTCATTCTTATATGTACAACAGTGCTCTCATATGAGCAGGTTTTTCAATATTAGATCCAAATGCAGCTTACAGGAAAACACTAACTATAAAGGCTATAGGTATCTATAATACCTGTATCTCTCTCTTTTAAACTCATTAATGTTAAGAAAAATTTCTGTGAAAGTCATAGCAGGGCCACGCAAATCACTGAAGTGCATCATCTGGTCTGACACACAGTCCCTGAACCTCCTCTTGGACCGTGACAGATGGAAGTCAATTTTACTCAGCTTTCCCTTTCACCGTGGGCCGAGCCATCACAAATCACTTCACCTTGCTTGTCAGCCAGGAACAGGCAGGATGGATCAGCAGATGTGCAGCAATCTCTTACAGCTACGTGCCGGTGCACCTCCGCCTACAGGCAGCAGACCAGCAGGGAGATGTGCTGGCACCATCCTTCCAGCATCCACGGAATGTCCTTGTGTCATCTAAGGCTCTTTATGAAAGATGATAGATGAAAAGCTGGGCCATTTCAGATCAAAGAGTGTGACTGAGGTGAAGAGCTGACTGCAGCTATGTATCACGGCTTTGTGCATCTGTGACTTTTCAGGAATACAGTGGGTTTTTTAAAAAAAAAAAGGTGTGGGTAACAAGAAGCCTTTAAGATCTGCAGTTGACACCTTGTCCCTCTGCTTGTGCCAGGCAAGCATTAAAACTTTTTTTAAAAGCATGAAGTGGTGTCACCCACTACTGAGAGTAACAAAGTGAGAGGGAGGCAGTCATGCAGGAGGGAGTGTACAGCTATGGAGAGCATGGAGAGGTCTCTCCTCTTAAGTAAGCCTAAAAAGTCCCAGATGAGCTGCCTGGGACCTACAGCACCAGGGCAAGCTATTTTTCTTCCCACTGTGTTTCTATTGTGAAGTTCAATACATCAGGGAAATAGCTTTTATAAAGTACTCTTTATCTGAAAGCACATAGGTAGAAGGAACTACCAAATTTCACAGTTCTCCATGAACTGCTGTCCTGTAGCGTCTTTGTTGAGCATTGGCTCTGGGAGAGAACTGGTGAGCATCCCCACGGAGGGAGGTCCTGCAGGTCCTCATGGGGCTGCCTGAGGGGCCTAATCCCTGGAAACCCTATGGACACAGAGGCTGCTCCGACTTCCAGGATCACCTGGCTCACATTTCTCCATGTGAAATTGCCAAAATCCCAGGAAGGATGAACATGAAAATTTCTTCTTAATGGCATCCCTTTTGCTTGGTGATTTAAATTAAGTGTGGATGGTGTCCTTCTGGCTATGGTCTCATCCATCAACCCAAGTGGGTGCAGATGTGAACCACTTGCTACATGATGCATGGCAGCAGCTTGTGTGGGTTTGCATCACTGCAGAGTCCTGTCAGCACAGGGACAGGACCAGCAAAGAGAGAAGGAAAAGGGAGGGAGGAGGAAGTGTTCAGTGGGTGGTGGGGTTGTGAGGCAGAAGGTCTGAGTACAGATGAAGGGTGGGCGGGGGAAGTAGAAGAGCCCATGGACCCACACAGCCTGTGCCTGGGTTAATTCCCACCTAAGCCCCCTGCAGTGTGTGAGATCCCCCACCCCACAACATGGCTGTAGAGCTCTGCAGCCCCCTCAACCCACCATTTCTCCTTCTCAGGAGCACTGCTTGTGGGTCCTGGGCAAACCAGAGAAATCCTTCTGCTCAGGGCATTATACAGGAGACTCAATGGTCCCTTGGGGCTTTGCAGATGAGGGCATGTGAGCCCAGCGTGGTGGGGGCCTCTTGTGGAGGTCTGCCTGATGCCCGATGGCTGGAGGAATGAAAGCAGGACCAACACACAAACGCTCTCCTAGGGAAGAGTGAGGTACCTCCCACAGAAAGAGTGCCCTGGGGTTTTTTATTATTTTTATTTTTTTTTCTACAATGGACTTGTTAAAAGGCATCAGCGGGCAGTGAGGCAGAGCATCACATCCCACTGCAGTGAGTAAATCAGCAATGGTACCGACGGAAGGAAATGTGTTTCTCCAGCTGGGAAGCATCACTGGGGACTGGTGTTTTTTACTGTAAGTGTATGGCAGGAGCAGGGGGCAACTGTGTGGTTAATGAAGCTTCATGTGGCTAAAGCCCATGGCAATAACTCTCATTTTGGTGTTATTGCTGGTGTGTCTGTCCTCGCTTTCATAAAAAGAGTGTGGTGATATCTAAGAGTGGCATTTCGATGCCTGAAATGCTCCTCATATAAATAGAACAAGCAGATCAGCATGACCGAGTGATAAAATTACCTTCTGGTCTTCAGGAACCTCAGCATGCAACTGTGCTATAGGGACCTCAGCGTACCCCTCTTCACAGCACAAACAAATACGTTTGGAAATGGACCTGGAGGAGACGTACAAAGAGGGAGAGATTATGGAGGGGAAAATCACTCGAGCTGCAGCTGCAAAGGTGGTGAAAAAGGCTTTTCTTGAAGCCCTGAAGTCCAATGACTTTGAGACACTGGAGAAGCTCTTGAGCCAAAAGAAGATAGACGTGGACACGGTGTTTGAAGTGGAAGATGAAAACCTGATTCTGGCATCCTACAAACAAGGTAAAGGTGGCAGCGTTCACCAGCCAGGAAGTAGATGGGTTTGAGTGGTTTTCAAGAAGCTGTGGCCCTTTGCCTCTTCTGAAGCTGCAGTTTAAGGCGGTTCTTAGGCAGTAACCTCTCAGTGGGTTCATGTGGCCACGGTCACCGCAGGAGGGGAGCTTATCAGCTGTACCAGCCGGGATGGTGGAGGGCAGGCCAGAGACCAGCTGGAGCCTCCAAGCTCCTGGGGCAGCTGCTGCAGCTTCAGGGAGGCCAGAATGAGGAGTCCTTTGCCATTGCCTCGCCGAGAATTCAGGTGCAAAGCCCAGAATAGACACCTGCAGGCTATGTGTGGTATATACTTGCAGCCACTCACGTGGGTACAGACCATTTAGAAACATAAAATACTAAATCTCTTCCATTTCAGTTTGCAGTGGTAGTACTCTCCCTGGCTCAGGAGAGCCGAGGAAATACAGCAGACCTTGGATGTTGCTGGATGGGAGGAAATTTATTTTTCAAACTGACACAAAGTGAGGATATGCTAGTTTATCAAAACAGAAAAATCATCTGGAAAAACACAACCAGAAAAGACATCTGTTTTGGAGTGTATGAAACCCAAACCAGTTCTCAGCCACACACTGAGTTTCCAAAAACTTAACAACTTCTAGCAATAAAACAAGTTTGCTGTCTGCTAAAATCACCAACACTTCATTACCTACTTGCTAACAGGCTCTTTGTATCTACAAAACAGTAATGGCCAGGCTTTGCCAGAAGTTAATCCTCCGTGGAGATAAAGACCTCCAGTCCCAGCAGCACAGCAAATGCCCTTGATTTCTGTGGCACAGGGAAGGGACAACATCCCACCTCTTCTCCTTTTCTGTGTTTGCCTCTGATTTAATGATAGGCTCCTGTTCTTTGGATTTCATTAGGGCAAGGATTATGTAGTCATGACGTACTTCCCTCGGGGCCAGTGTCTGAACTAACCCACACAGTGATGAATGTGCCTTAAAATACCTTTTCTTCTGTCCTCAGCAGGCTGAGATACATGCTGGTTGTGGTTTGAGATTACAGGATTAATGCACAGATTTTTCATTGTGGATCATTTGACCGCAAGCATTAGCCTGTCTCTTTTGGAGAAGTCTCTCCTTTTTCCAATAATAGAGAGGTAAATGCACCCTATGGCCTAAATCACAGCAGTGTATTAACTTTGGAAGGCAGGGGGCACTCTATCAACTCTTGTGCAAATTTTACTTTTATTCTGAATCACCTGTGATACGAGACAGCGATTTCCTTGAGGAGGGAGAGGGGGGAAAAATCAAGCCCCACCAGCCCACCCATTCAGACAGCCTGGGCTGTGCCATAGCCCTGAGCAATGAGGGGGGAAGGAGATGCCATGGGTGACAGAGTGGCTTTGCTGCCTCTCTTCCCAAGAGAAGACAGGTCTCTTTGAGAAGTCTGGAGAGAACAAGCCTTATGAGGAGCGGTTGGGGGAGCTGGGGTTGTTCAGCCTGGGGAAAAGGAGGCTGAGGGGAGACATTAAGGTTGATATTATGACATTGAGTTGAAAAACCATATACAACAATTCAAAGATGAAGGTCTGAATTAATTTGACCTCATACATCTTTGGTATTTTTTTCTGTGTCTTTTACATGCTAACAGTATTCAACTAGGCATTCGTCCAAGGCGAAATAGATTAATCAAACCCAGAAAATTTTATAGGCACATTCTAGCTAATATACAGCTGCTGTATCTCAAAAAAAAAAAAAAAAACCAAAAAAAAAGAGAGAGAAAAGAAGAGGTTTTAGACTACTCTTACCCTTCTGCACATTATTACTGTGTTTTACTTTTATTAAACAAATGATTATAGTAATCACTTCTGAGACTGTGCAGTAATAAAGCATGTAGTCCTATTTTTGGAAACAAATATTTAAGTGTTATTTGGTCTTATACCTGTTTGAAAGTAAAAAAAAAAAACACCAACAAAACCAAAACAAAGCCCAGATCATTGTGAAATTTTCAAAGAAAAATCCCAACATTTTGGAGCAAAATTTAATGCCAGAGTGTCACGCTTCTATTTGGCTCTTTAACTGCATTTACATCAGCACCCAGACTCCTCCCTGCGTGCTCCCCAGGGGCAGCAGTTGGCAGGAGGGCTGTCACACAGCTGCAGCCGCGTTGCCAGGGCTCAGCTCCATGCCATGCCTCGCTGGGGGGCTCAATCCAGCTCCTGACGTGCCAGATCCTGCCACCTCCCATGCAGAAAGGGCAGGATGAGCTCTCTGTTGAGCCACTGGCCTAAGGAAATGCTGCCCTCTTATCCCATTGCCACCTTTGTCCAGCTAATGGCAGGCTGAATATCCCGTTTCTCCCATATTTTTTTAGCTGGTGGCATTTCAAATGCTCTAAGCATATATTTTTTTAAATTGAGCCTGCCCAGGTCACAAAAAAAGCAAAAGCTGCCTTCCAAGCACATCTATGTGGGAAATCTCTCTGCAAAAGGCAGGCTATTCAGCACACATAGTAAAAGTGCTTAATGAAAATGAAGTTATGCTTGAGAGAACTTCATATGCACTAACTAAGCTGTAGCTGGTGAAATTACAGTAAATTAAAGCAAAGCTCTAGTCCTTCCTTCCCCCTCAATTATCCTCAGTAGGTGGCTAGTCCAAGGAAAAGTCTTTGCCAAGGATGGTAAAGTATTTTCGCTTTGTACAGGGTACTGGCTGCCCAGCTACAAATTAAAAATATCCTGGGCAACTGGACTTCATCTGGCTGTCATGTATGGACATCTGGAGAGTCTTTCGGTCCTGCTCAATCACAAAGCTACCATCAACTGCCGGCCCAACGGAAAAGCCGCCATCCACATCGCTTGTGAAATGGCAAACGTGGAGTGCCTCAAGATCCTGTGCAACCACGGAGCCAAGCTCAACTGCTTCTCCATGAGCGGGCAGGCGCCCCTGCACTTCTGTACCACACCAGCCTCCCTGCCCTGTGCCCGGCAGCTGCTTTGGAGAGGTAAGGTAAAGCCCTGGAAGGTCTCTCCTGGCATCACTAGAGAGAGTGGGCAGGGTCCCTGCTTTCTCTCAGGGGGCAATTTGTCAAAGGACACATGTATTTAGCTCTTCCAAGTTGACCCACGTCTTCAACTCAGACATCTTTTCCCCATCTCTTTGATCAGAGGAAGTTTTTCCCCTTCTGATTCTTCACCCCATCTGTCCTTCCCTCCCCCTGGCTACCAGCCCTTACTCCAGGATTGTTTCCCATCCCGGTGCCTCCAGCCCACTGCCCAGTCAGTCCCTCCGCAGGAGAGGCCCTCTGAATCAGGGAGTTTCTGTTTCTCTAATTTTTCCCTCTCGTCTTCACCTAAGTTTACTATTGAGACGTTTATGTTCATCTAACATAAAAATGTGCCCCCTTTTTCTTCTTTCTTGTTCAAATTTTCTTGATCTCATAAAATTCTTCCAATCACTTGTATTTTAAGACCTGACCTTGAAAAGCCAGATGTAGTTTTTCATACCATCTCTTCCTTTGTCAGCAGCCAAACTCCTGCATCTATGTATGGATTGGGGTAAAAGGCTCTTCTATATGATTTTTTTTTCCCCCTGAAGCAACATACATTATGCTGCTGGTCATCTGTAAGACGTGAAGCTATGAATAGATGTAATTCCTGGATAAACATATTGGTGTCACACACTATTTCCTCAACACATGGATGCTGACTCAGGGCACAGGAGAAGACAGACATAAAAGGCACAGCAAAGTCAGGCAGTTCAACTCTGAAGTTGCAAACAGACAGATTCTCCTATTCGTCACACTGTGCCACGGCAAATACAAATGTTTTGGGGGGTTTTTTGCTACATGTGTTGTTTTTAAAGGCTTTTCTTGAGATGCAGAGCCCAAGTATGCTTTGTGGGCAAGGCAATCTGCAGTCCCGAATGAATAACCACATCGCTTTCCTTCTACTGGAAAGATACATATTATTTTGTTTAGTTGAAAGGAAAATAAATCAAATAAATGCTGCCAGTTGTGTCCTGCCCAAAGCAAACAGTCCTGACAGCAGGAGTTGAATTTGCTACCATGGAAAAAGCTTAAAAAGTCAAATGTACTCTTATAAAATGTTGCATAGGATGAATGCAAATGAAAGGATGTATTCTGTAGGCTTTCTCCACCCACCCATCAGCAGCAGAATAATAAAACTTTACAAGCCACCCTTCATCCCAAAGCACTTGGTAAACTCAAATCTCCAAATGAGCTAAATATCATGACTACTAACAAAACAGGAGAGGTTCTGGAGCAGCACGTGGCGGGTCTGCACACACACGTGGCAGCACCATTCAACAGCTGAAACTGGGGCTTTGGTTAATGTCCCTGCACCAAAGTTTCCAGAAGGCATCTCCCACCCTGCCACCTCTACCCCGAGGTGTCACGCTGGGTCGATTCAGGTAAATGCACTTTAACCACTTCTCATTTGGGCAACTTGCCAGCCAAGCAAAACTGATCCCGTGTTTGTTTGCCACCTCCAAACTTAGATTGCTGGTGCTCTCATGAACATCTAGCATGACTAACACTCAACGTGGCTTAACAGCATTAGCACTCGGGTTTCCCAGACCAGAGGTAATTTTTGACTCTGCTTCCTCCCTCCCAATTCTTACACCTCAGTCTCAGTGTAAGTCTGGCCACATAAGGGCTTTCGTGAGTCCAGAGAGAAGAGGGGTGACCAGAGTGTGCACCGGATCTTACATGAGTACTTGCAGTAACTGGCCACAGGTTCAAGGAGCCCTTGTTCACCCTACAGTCATCAACATCAGCACCCTCCATCTCTGGAAGAAGCTCCTTTTCGCCGCAGCCTGCTGGGCCCATGGCACTTCTAGGGTTCTGCTTTGCTCTGGGTCTTGCCTACCTTCCCTCTTTTCCCACGAGCAGTGTCCAGGATTATTCCTGCAGGTATTTGCATTTCCTTAGGGATGGAGCCTGGAGCTTCTCCATATCTGCTTCACAGAATCACAGAACGGCAGGGTTGGAAGGGACCTCTGGAGATCACCCAGTCCAACCACCTGCCAGAGCAGGGTCACCCAGAGCAGGTCCCACAGGAACGTGTCCAGGAGGGTTTGAATGTCTCCAGAGAAGGAGACTCCACCACCTCTCTGGGCAGCCTCTGCCAGGGCTCTGCCACCCTCACAGGAAAGACGTTTCCCCACGTGTTGAGATGGAACTTCCCATGCTCCAGTTTGTGCCTGTTGCCCCTTGTCCTGTCCCTGGCACCACTGAGAAGAGCCTGACCCCATCCTCCTGATACTCACCCTTTAGACATTGCTCAGCATTGATGAGAGACCCCTTCTCAGTCTTCTCTTCTCCAGGCTGAACAGCCCCCGGTCTCTCACCCTTTCCTCAGCAGAGATAATCCCCTTGATCATCTTTATAGCCTGTGCTGGATTTTTTCCAGTATCTCCCAGTCCTTTGCTCCTCAGTAGATGGTGCTGTTGCTTCAGCAGCCACAGCCACTCTGCGCAACCAGTCCCCTTAACAGCTTGAAAACAGGCTCCAGACCCTCAGCTGGGGACTTTGGCTATCTTGTTTAGGATTTTTGTTATATCCTCTATGGATCTATTGTAAAAAGTCCTTTCTTCCAGGCTTGCAGTTCATGAGGTGCTGCAGGAAGCATTCCCAGGGTATAGATTTGAGCAGAGCTATTCTCCGGAGCAGGAGGAAAGCTCTCCTTTTTCCTTCAGTTCCTCATTTAAAGGCAATAGCATTTTACACAGAAATCTGGACCCGCATGCTGCTCCAAAATCCAGTGCTCTGATAAGGCTTGGGGCCAAGCTATCACATCTGAAGCTGGATCCAAGAACCTGAAGTTTCTAAGGGTTCCCTGGAGGCTTAAGAGATGCAGAATCCATGTCCCTACCTATTTGTGTTCCCCCATGCACCTTTCCAGCCAGTTGCCCACCCTCACCTTCTCTTTGGGTAGCAGGGCTCAAGCAGAGACACATCCGAACCAGGATTTCATTGCCTTCACTATTTTTTCCCCGTCATCTTTCTTTGGCAGGAGCGAACGTGAACTTAAAAACAAATAACCAGGATGAGGAGACCCCCCTGCACACCGCTGCGCGCTTGGGGATCCCGCAGCTCGTGGCCTTTTACGTGGAACAAGGGGCGCACGTCGATGCTCTCAATGCCTACATGGAGACCCCCTTGGCCTGTGCGGCCTACTGGGCCCTTCACTACAAGGATCAGATCTACAGCCCCGACCACCACCTCGTCTGCCGGATGCTCTTGGACTACAAAGCTGAAGTGAACGCCCGCGACGAGGACTTCAAATCCCCGCTCCACAAAGCTGCCTGGAACTGTGACCACGTCCTGCTGCACATGCTGCTGGAGGCGGGAGCAGAAGCCAACATCATGGACGTCAACGGCTGTGCCCCCTTGCAGTACATCATTAAAGTGACGCCTGTGCGGCCAGCGGCCCAGCCCGACGTCTGCTACCAGCTGCTGCTGAATCACGGAGCCGCTCGGATATACCCTCTGCAGTTCCACAAGGTTAAGGCTGGCTTCGTAGAGTAGGGGGATGGAGAAAGGTGATGCCTTGAGCAGGAACGGGGTGGGAGATCCAGAGTTCGGGGGCTGGTGGTGGCTGGGTTTGCTAAAGTCTTGTAGGCCCAGAACGCCCAAAACCTTGTGAGATCGTTTAACTGAAGTGAAATTTCAGTTGCTGATGTCAGAAGCCAGACCCGGATCCCTTTTTTGTTCCTAACCAACCTGAAACACCAAACCCAGATGCTGGTTCAAGCCTCATTTCTCAGAGCTGATTCACTTTCTCGTTTCAGAAAACCTACATGGCTTTTCCAAACCTGGCTCCACGCAGGCTTAACTGGGTTACTTGAAATGTGCATTTCATGGCCTCTGTCAAAGAGTGGAGATCAGACCAGTTGATTCAGTTTGACACTTTTGGCCTTTAAAAATCTATTCATGTCTATTCAAAGTGAAATGGATCTCAGTAAAGCTTTGGCTCGTCCCCAGGAAATGTGAGAAATTCAGGCAAAATGCTGGGCTTGGGCTCATAGTTGATTAAATTAAAAAAAAAAAAAAAAAGAAGAAGAAGAAAAAGAAAAATAATTGCAGGATCCCTCCCAAAGAATTTCTAAATGTCTGCAAAGCCCAAGGCACTGACAGAAGTAGCTGACAGGCTTCTTATCTAAATAATCTTGCTGTAATCAGGACTCATTCTCTCTCATCCAGTGCCCTCAGCAACACTTTGCAGCTCCTCCTCTGTGTAATGTAAAGTTTTAAGACCCTGCTCTGGCAGGGGGTTGGACTGGATGATCTCCAGAGGTCCCTTCCAACTCCATAGCATTCTGTGATCCTGTACGGTATGAATCTGGGACATGCACAACTCCACTGGGGACCAGCCTGGCATCTCTTGCTGCAGGTTGCACTGGGCAGTGTGGACATGGCTTATGCCTTTTTGCAGCTCCAACCTTGTCCTCTGGTAGCTCTTGGGCCATCCCCATCTCAGTACGCCGTTGCTCCATGGCAAGCACCCAGGCTAGCCCCAGCTTCTTGGTGGTACTCACGGTCTCTGTGCATCCTGCCTGCAGGTGCTACAAGCCTGTCATTCCTACCCCAGAGCTGTGGAGGTTGTCGTCAATACCTACGAACACATCAAGTCAACGTCCAAGTGGAAAGCAGCCATCCCTGATGACGTCTTTGAGGTAGGCTCTCAATGAGTTGTAGCTGAGCAAAATCCAAGCTCATTATTTCCATTCTCCATGCCAGAAAAATGAGAAGGCTTTTGAAAGAGGAGACCATCTCAGAAGTTTTGGGGCTTCCCCATTTAATATCAGTCCCTTGACAAGAGCATATCACCCACTGACAAAAAGAGGTATTTTTCAGGAATCTTCATCACAACATTACCCTTAGGAGCACCCCTTGTCGGAGGGGGCTCAGCTGTCCCTGTGCTCAGCAAGTGCAAAGATTCTGGCTGACAGGTTTCTTCAGACCTGTCAATACATGTATTTATATTTTTTTTTATGTCAGCAGATGTTTTAAAAGTACTGTGTTGCAGGGGAATGATGATGTATCTTTAGGTCCTGTTGCATGGGTTGGGTTTCTGCGAGCACGTCTGGTTTGCTGCAAATACAAGGGGCAGTTTAAATGAAAAATGAGACCAAGGAGGAAAAAATGTTGACAAAAGGCAAAATTGTGGGACAAACTACATGCTTTGGCATAAGTAACCTTTTAATTCAGAAATCCTCATAGTCCAAATATTTCACTTTAAACCTACTTTTTTATTAATTTTAAAAAAAAATTTAAATCAGTGCTTAAGTTCAGTGCACTGATATCTGCTATACATTATCAGTGATGTTTAGGTAACTCCATCTGTATTATAATGCAGAGCTATACAGCTTGAGACTTCTTTGGGGTCAGATAGGTTCAGAAAAAGTTAAAAAAATCATTCTGGGTGAACACAAAATTAAAAGCTAAAGGTCGTTTTTCACATTAATAAGAACAAGAACAATAAGAACAACAATAATATTAATAATAATAACAATAAGAAGAATAATATTTTTTCAAATGAAAGAAATTATTTTAAATATTGGAACATTATAATTTGGAAAAGTCCACAGTTGCTCTACTTCTTTGTTGAGATTTTCATTTTTGTTGTCAAAACTATTTGCTGGCTTTGACATGAAATTGGAGACAAAGTACGGACACAAATCTATACTTTTCCATACATAAAGTGTAACTGAAAATACATGTAAACAGATGCATCAAGTAGCAAGATTATAAAATAAGGTCAAGCCACACATAGGCACACATATTTACTGTTGGCTTCTTTTATTTCAGCATCATTTGTAAGCAGTGCACCTCGAACTGATGGGTATAAGACATAGGGAGCTGAAAGGTTTCACCCAGGTCCTTAGCTTCCCACCGCATACTTGGGGCAGGCACGAGAGTTCTGTGCAGGCACTTGGCTAGCGCCAGTCCCTGGTGCTGGACCTGTCTCCCAAGGACAGGATGGTTTTCCCTGCTTTTCACCTCATTCTGCGTACGGGCAGGGGAAGGGGAGGGAAGGGAAACAGCCTTTCTTGCCCCAAAACATGCTTGTGGTTTGGTTGTGTGTTTTTTGCAGCGGCACCAGGAATTCTATGACTCTCTGTTCACCGTCTGCAGCAATTCCCCGCGCTCACTCATGCACTTATGCAGATGTGCCATCCGCGCGATACTCTCCGAAAGGTGCCACCGAGGGGTCCCCTTGCTCTCCATCCCCCCCTCCATGAAGAAGTACTTGCTGCTGGAGCCAGAAGGAATCATCTACTGAGCTGCAGCAGAGCCGGCCCCGAGTCCTCTCCCTGCCCAGACCCCCACGTCTCTATGGGGGGCTGGAGATCCAGCCACAATCCCTACGGGATTTACCGCCTCTCCCCGCAGCCACTGTCTTTCCCTGCATGGAGGAATCACAGCCACAGCCTGTGGGTCACGCTGGGGGAGTCAGAGCTGGAAAGCACCCCCCAAAAAACCCCCACACTTCTCTGCTTTGTTCAGCCTCGCTTAAACCACGCTGCTGCCCCTGCCTTCCCTATTTATTCCGCCGCCTGCTAGATAGCATGAGATCCAACCTGAACAACCTCTGGGACTGTTTCGCTGTAATTTCCTTTGGCTGTCATTTTGGGAGTGAAAGGAAAGGATGCCACCAGAAAACAGGACATTTATTAGTGTCGCAGAAAGGCTTTTCCAGAAAGGAATGGGTGGGCTGCTTTGAACGGTGACCACAGACAGGATTCCGACAGTTTCCAGATTTTCCCGCGGATTGACTCTCCGTGCAGTGTCAGCTCACTGTTCACTGCACCTCTCTGTGTCTTATAAAGCTTTGTCATAATAATATCCCTTTTAATTGTAAGCATTTTTTCCACTATCAATCACAATATTGGAACCTGCAGAACGGAAATCTCTGTACGTTGCTCTTCGTGCTCAGGTGGATTTTAGCAGACTCTGTCTCTGTTCCTGACTTCTCAGTGCATCTCAGACTGTGAAGCTATCGATCATCATTATTGTTATTATTATTATTATTATCTCTTTACAAGACAGCCCACAGCATGTTAGGCTCTTCCCAGCTGGACAGGAGGGGCCAAGCTGTTCAGGGTGTCTGTGTCTCACAAAGTGGCAATAGCAGCACCTGAAGAAATATTGCAGATTGGTTAGTGTTATGAATCACTTCTTGCTTCCTTTTCAACTCAGTTTTTGTGAACCAAGGCAGGAACTCTGTGTTAGGAGAGAGCCCAATTCAGAGCTCTGCTGATGTTCAGCTAGACAGCAGGGAAGATTGCTATTTAACAGTTTCTAGAGTCAGCAGAGACTTTCAAAGACAGCACAAGTCATGAGAAAATGCTTTCTCATACGAATGAAGTTGTAATAAATGTATACAGTTGTAATACTTAACTGATGAAAATTTCTACAGAGTTGGCTGAGGTATCTCTATTGGAGACACTACAGGGGCAAGTGATCAGGATCTGATTTGTCAGCAGAAAAATCCACCTGAGGCAGTTCCAGGTGATGGGGATCCACCAAGGAAAAGCAGCGAGTTTGGAAGGATGGAGAAAGCTTAGATTAGCTAAACCCAGTGCTTTTCTCGATGGCCGATTTAAGTCAGGCGTGAGGAAAAGGGTCTGCAAACTGGTCAAGGCAGGAAAATGTTTGTTGCTCTCTGAACAGCCTGGCACAGGGACAAGCTGGATAGTCCAGAAGAGCCAGACACACGGAGGTAGCTGGTTTTATTGGGAACATACCCCCATGCTGCCTGCTTCTGGAAGTCAAATTCTGCATCTGGAAGAGGGAGGTTTAAGGCAGAACAATAGCGGCATTTTTTGACCTGTCGTAGTCAGGATTCTCTTGCTGAGAGAGAAGAAAAAAGGCTGTCACCAGCGATCCCAAATTCCCTCTGATCCTCCCCCTCTGCAGTGAAGATGCTTAATTTTTATTCTGTGGGCACCCGGCCTCAGCTCCCAGCTTTGTACCAAGCAGGTGCCAGATTATAGCCATTGTGGCGTCTGACAGGGAGCACAGTGGGATCAGGCTGATTATAGTCATAGGAATTTGCAAGCTGTTAAAAACACTGGAGAACATCCCTATCACAGGAAAAAAGACCTGATTGATGCACTTTAATTGCTTCTGTTGCTGGAGTTAGAAAGACCAACAGTAAGCAAACCTTATTATTTGATACCTTTTAGCATTTCTTGGGGTTTTTTTTCTCTTACTGTACTCTAATCCCACGCAGTGGATGGTGTTGCTCATGTGAGGCACGGGGGTGTCTAATAATAAGCTTATCATTTATTAACTTTATGGGATGCACAGTCTTATTATTCTGACTTAGTGTAGACACCTTGAAGTTTCATAATTTCATTTAACCTCTGATCACGCTTTTATATTCTCAAAGCTGCAGCAGATTGGATGGCTGCAGGTGGAAATAATGAGAGACTGAGCTGTCACCCCTGCACAGGGAATTTGAACCTAGCCATGACCTAAAATGATAGAAAATTGTTTTCAGGGTTGTTTGGTGCCTTGTATGAAATGGGTTGCTTTTTGCCATTTGTCTTTTTAGTGGAGACGTAGCCATGTTTGAGGCATTTTCACTGCATTTCACAGCCCAAAGCACGGATGGGCACAAAGAGTGAACTATCCTTTCCCATTGGCAGCCCTTTCCCACACCTCCCCTGATGACTTCTCAGTGGACAACCACCAGATTACATTTTTTGGTCCTTATGCTTTTCGAGAGATGTATACAAAGAGATGTTCTTAAACCACATGCATCATTGACAAAAGAATTTATCTCATCTATGGACATAGAGACACTCTGCATGTTTTTGTGGGCCGGTGCAGACCCATAATTCAGCTCTTCTTGGAAATACCAACACCCTCTTTGTAAAGTGCTCTTGCAATAATTTTAAACTTAGCCCCTGATGTCTGATTGGATCCAGCTTGACTCAAAACTCCAATAATTTAACCACAGAGAGTATGTAGGCGAAACTGAAGTCTAATGGTGTTCAGGATTGTATTTTCCTGCAAAACCTTTAAATGTCTATTCACATGGGATATCCTTTAGATACTGGGACAAGGAGCCATGGAGCTGGGACAAGGAGCATGGCTGGTTCAGCTCTCCAACACTGCTGCTTGTCCTGCCAGCCTGGAGCCAAGAAGAGGAGACAGAGACCACAAAGCAGCAACTCGGGACTTTAGAAGAGGGAGCAGTACATGTTGATCAGTTCCTGCTCAGCCTCCAGCTTTAAACACATGTTTAAAACCTTCACCACTTGTCCTTGAGATGGGCTAGTTTCCCCGTGCTGCTGGTGGCAGGAGGGGAAGGGTGCATTCTCAGCTGCCTCCCGCTTTGTGCAGTGGTATCAAGGCCATTTGGGTTGCATGAGGCTTAGAGATGTGATAAGTAGGTCTTTTCTCTACAAAGGCAGCTTTGGATGAGTATTGACAACTGTCCTCATTGACTGGTTTGTTAACGTGCTCATTGCTGGTACTTTAAGATCATACTCAACAGTGAACATCACCCACCTCTACTCCAAAACCAAGCTCCCTGATGAGAGCCTGTTTCTTGGCCGAATGGCAACAACACTCAGCACCAGGACCTTCAGCACAAGGGGATGCTGGTTCCACATCCCTTGCTCCTCTCACAGTGAACTGCATTAAGACTAGTTTGTGTTACAAAGAGGAAAAGGTTGAAAGGCCAGACTAAAATATCAGGGCCACCCGGCACTGGCAGCCAGGATCTCCGTGTCTTTCTGCCCTTAACGTTTGAAAAGCCAGCAGAGGAAGGGGACGGGTTGCCTGTGCCCCTTTTCATGCTACTACATGGCATCATCACTGCGTGGAGGATCTTGTAAAGTTTTGGACCAAAACTCCTGACTACATGAAAGCAGAATGGTGTTGAAATGCCCATTTCCACTCTGGCAGCTCTGCTTGGGTCCGTGCGTGTGTTGGGACGCGTGTGCATCAGCAGGTGTGTGTGTGTGCGAGGAGACCTGCAGGGGTATCCCAGTCAAAACCTTTGATCTGGTTTCCATCCGAGTTTTTCAACCCAAATCAGGGTATCAGGGTTGAAAGCAATAAATTCCCATAAGGGTTTTGGCTTCAATGAAATTTTACTTACCCAAAACCACTTACCATCTTGAAAAAACATTTCTTTCCATGGGGCAATGTCTTAGAGCCGATGCACTAGTTTTGACAGAATCAAGTTAATTGCTGTGATCATGAGTCTGTATCAATCTCCCAGACTGAGCACGACTGAAAAATATTTTCACAAAATATCAGGAACACAAATATTAGGGGAGAAGGCCTGGTCTGCCATGAGAGGAGGCAGCTTTGCTTTTAGCGGCAAGCGCTGCTGGATCAACTAAAATGGTCATGGGGGGTCAACTCATTCATATTTGAGGAACGTCCTTTGAAAACTATGCTCTATGCGCTAATGCTTTTGGCAGCATATTATGCTCTTGGGACAAATACCTTTAAATTAAAGATACAAGAGTTCAGCCTTTGAGATTGGAAGGAAGATTGAAAGAGTCTGGGGTGGCCTATGCTATTATATACCTTTATTAAACCCTGAGGAGCCCAAGAGGCTTGGCAGCTCTTCAGCATGCTGGAAGGTTTGCAGGGCTCTTGAAGGGCTGCTGCTGCTTTTCTGAAACGCTACACGATAGAGATGGGTCGGACACAGCAATATTTCCATTTACTTTGAGGATACGGCAGCAGAATTTCCCTGTACTCCCCAGGGTTTACTCTTCTACTAAATAACAGTGCAGAACATGCTATTAGCAGAGCCTAGCTAGCGTCTGACACCTTAACCTCCCCAAGAATTATATTAAAGTAGTGGAAAGATCTACCACAGCCTCTATTTTGTGGAACGGCAGGGACTGCTGGTGGAGCAGAGGAGCGGGTCAGAAAAGATTGCTATATACAGCAACCGTCAGAGGAAATTGTTTGGCCTCTCAGAAATTTGTTTCAGGCTATTTCTCCAAACGCATCTTAAACTTCGTAAGACACAGAGGGGAAAGGGGACAATGGATATTACGCATTCCAATGACCTGACTGATTTTAATACACAGTTAACATTTTCGTGGCATGTAGCAGCTGTGTGTTGCCTTTACCTTGCACGGGCACCCTATGGAGTGCTGCTAAATTACAATTAAGGCATTTGAAACAAGGACAGCAGGGCAGGGGATGGTTTGTACACCACTGGTGAGCTGTTGGGTTCTGTTCTTTCAAACTGGGGCTGCCCAGGGATGTTGGTATCGGCCTTTTGCCCAGCGCCAGAATCACACCGCATTTTAGCATCAAAACAGTGCAATTTATATGGCTGCTTAGGCTATCGGTACTGCAATTAGCACCGGGTTAGATCAGGTCATTAGTAACTGTCAGTGAGGAGTTGCCCAGCCTCAGTATTAGCCATTAGCTTGCTGGCTACTTGTGGGAGGGAAGGGGGACGAATCCAGACAACCCTGGCGAAGAATAGGGAGGTTTACCTGTTCCCAATAACCCTACAAAACCCACTAGTTGGTCAGGGATTAAGAATAAATAACTGCTGAGGTCTGAGGAAAATGCACCAAAGTTTCCAGAAGGCATCTCCCACCCTGCCACCTCTACCCCGAGGTGTCACGCTGGGTCGATTCAGGTAAATGCACTTTAACCACTTCTCATTTGGGCAACTTGCCAGCCAAGCAAAACTGATCCCGTGTTTGTTTGCCACCTCCAAACTTAGATTGCTGGTGCTCTCATGAACATCTAGCATGACTAACACTCAACGTGGCTTAACAGCATTAGCACTCGGGTTTCCCAGACCAGAGGTAATTTTTGACTCTGCTTCCTCCCTCCCAATTCTTACACCTCAGTCTCAGTGTAAGTCTGGCCACATAAGGGCTTTCGTGAGTCCAGAGAGAAGAGGGGTGACCAGAGTGTGCACCGGATCTTACATGAGTACTTGCAGTAACTGGCCACAGGTTCAAGGAGCCCTTGTTCACCCTACAGTCATCAACATCAGCACCCTCCATCTCTGGAAGAAGCTCCTTTTCGCCGCAGCCTGCTGGGCCCATGGCACTTCTAGGGTTCTGCTTTGCTCTGGGTCTTGCCTACCTTCCCTCTTTTCCCACGAGCAGTGTCCAGGATTATTCCTGCAGGTATTTGCATTTCCTTAGGGATGGAGCCTGGAGCTTCTCCATATCTGCTTCACAGAATCACAGAACGGCAGGGTTGGAAGGGACCTCTGGAGATCACCCAGTCCAACCACCTGCCAGAGCAGGGTCACCCAGAGCAGGTCCCACAGGAACGTGTCCAGGAGGGTTTGAATGTCTCCAGAGAAGGAGACTCCACCACCTCTCTGGGCAGCCTCTGCCAGGGCTCTGCCACCCTCACAGGAAAGACGTTTCCCCACGTGTTGAGATGGAACTTCCCATGCTCCAGTTTGTGCCTGTTGCCCCTTGTCCTGTCCCTGGCACCACTGAGAAGAGCCTGACCCCATCCTCCTGATACTCACCCTTTAGACATTGCTCAGCATTGATGAGAGACCCCTTCTCAGTCTTCTCTTCTCCAGGCTGAACAGCCCCCGGTCTCTCACCCTTTCCTCAGCAGAGATAATCCCCTTGATCATCTTTATAGCCTGTGCTGGATTTTTTCCAGTATCTCCCAGTCCTTTGCTCCTCAGTAGATGGTGCTGTTGCTTCAGCAGCCACAGCCACTCTGCGCAACCAGTCCCCTTAACAGCTTGAAAACAGGCTCCAGACCCTCAGCTGGGGACTTTGGCTATCTTGTTTAGGATTTTTGTTATATCCTCTATGGATCTATTGTAAAAAGTCCTTTCTTCCAGGCTTGCAGTTCATGAGGTGCTGCAGGAAGCATTCCCAGGGTATAGATTTGAGCAGAGCTATTCTCCGGAGCAGGAGGAAAGCTCTCCTTTTTCCTTCAGTTCCTCATTTAAAGGCAATAGCATTTTACACAGAAATCTGGACCCGCATGCTGCTCCAAAATCCAGTGCTCTGATAAGGCTTGGGGCCAAGCTATCACATCTGAAGCTGGATCCAAGAACCTGAAGTTTCTAAGGGTTCCCTGGAGGCTTAAGAGATGCAGAATCCATGTCCCTACCTATTTGTGTTCCCCCATGCACCTTTCCAGCCAGTTGCCCACCCTCACCTTCTCTTTGGGTAGCAGGGCTCAAGCAGAGACACATCCGAACCAGGATTTCATTGCCTTCACTATTTTTTCCCCGTCATCTTTCTTTGGCAGGAGCGAACGTGAACTTAAAAACAAATAACCAGGATGAGGAGACCCCCCTGCACACCGCTGCGCGCTTGGGGATCCCGCAGCTCGTGGCCTTTTACGTGGAACAAGGGGCGCACGTCGATGCTCTCAATGCCTACATGGAGACCCCCTTGGCCTGTGCGGCCTACTGGGCCCTTCACTACAAGGATCAGATCTACAGCCCCGACCACCACCTCGTCTGCCGGATGCTCTTGGACTACAAAGCTGAAGTGAACGCCCGCGACGAGGACTTCAAATCCCCGCTCCACAAAGCTGCCTGGAACTGTGACCACGTCCTGCTGCACATGCTGCTGGAGGCGGGAGCAGAAGCCAACATCATGGACGTCAACGGCTGTGCCCCCTTGCAGTACATCATTAAAGTGACGCCTGTGCGGCCAGCGGCCCAGCCCGACGTCTGCTACCAGCTGCTGCTGAATCACGGAGCCGCTCGGATATACCCTCTGCAGTTCCACAAGGTTAAGGCTGGCTTCGTAGAGTAGGGGGATGGAGAAAGGTGATGCCTTGAGCAGGAACGGGGTGGGAGATCCAGAGTTCGGGGGCTGGTGGTGGCTGGGTTTGCTAAAGTCTTGTAGGCCCAGAACGCCCAAAACCTTGTGAGATCGTTTAACTGAAGTGAAATTTCAGTTGCTGATGTCAGAAGCCAGACCCGGATCCCTTTTTTGTTCCTAACCAACCTGAAACACCAAACCCAGATGCTGGTTCAAGCCTCATTTCTCAGAGCTGATTCACTTTCTCGTTTCAGAAAACCTACATGGCTTTTCCAAACCTGGCTCCACGCAGGCTTAACTGGGTTACTTGAAATGTGCATTTCATGGCCTCTGTCAAAGAGTGGAGATCAGACCAGTTGATTCAGTTTGACACTTTTGGCCTTTAAAAATCTATTCATGTCTATTCAAAGTGAAATGGATCTCAGTAAAGCTTTGGCTCGTCCCCAGGAAATGTGAGAAATTCAGGCAAAATGCTGGGCTTGGGCTCATAGTTGATTAAATTAAAAAAAAAAAAAAAAGAAGAAGAAGAAAAAGAAAAATAATTGCAGGATCCCTCCCAAAGAATTTCTAAATGTCTGCAAAGCCCAAGGCACTGACAGAAGTAGCTGACAGGCTTCTTATCTAAATAATCTTGCTGTAATCAGGACTCATTCTCTCTCATCCAGTGCCCTCAGCAACACTTTGCAGCTCCTCCTCTGTGTAATGTAAAGTTTTAAGACCCTGCTCTGGCAGGGGGTTGGACTGGATGATCTCCAGAGGTCCCTTCCAACTCCATAGCATTCTGTGATCCTGTACGGTATGAATCTGGGACATGCACAACTCCACTGGGGACCAGCCTGGCATCTCTTGCTGCAGGTTGCACTGGGCAGTGTGGACATGGCTTATGCCTTTTTGCAGCTCCAACCTTGTCCTCTGGTAGCTCTTGGGCCATCCCCATCTCAGTACGCCGTTGCTCCATGGCAAGCACCCAGGCTAGCCCCAGCTTCTTGGTGGTACTCACGGTCTCTGTGCATCCTGCCTGCAGGTGCTACAAGCCTGTCATTCCTACCCCAGAGCTGTGGAGGTTGTCGTCAATACCTACGAACACATCAAGTCAACGTCCAAGTGGAAAGCAGCCATCCCTGACGACGTCTTTGAGGTAGGCTCTCAATGAGTTGTAGCTGAGCAAAATCCAAGCTCATTATTTCCATTCTCCATGCCAGAAAAATGAGAAGGCTTTTGAAAGAGGAGACCATCTCAGAGGTTTTGGGGCTTCCCCATTTAATATCAGTCCCTTGACAAGAGCATATCACCCACTGACAAAAAGAGGTATTTTTCAGGAATCTTCATCACAACATTACCCTTAGGAGCACCCCTTGTCGGAGGGGGCTCAGCTGTCCCTGTGCTCAGCAAGTGCAAAGATTCTGGCTGACAGGTTTCTTCAGACCTGTCAATACATGTATTTATATTTTTTTTTATGTCAGCAGATGTTTTAAAAGTACTGTGTTGCAGGGGAATGATGATGTATCTTTAGGTCCTGTTGCATGGGTTGGGTTTCTGCGAGCACGTCTGGTTTGCTGCAAATACAAGGGGCAGTTTAAATGAAAAATGAGACCAAGGAGGAAAAAATGTTGACAAAAGGCAAAATTGTGGGACAAACTACATGCTTTGGCATAAGTAACCTTTTAATTCAGAAATCCTCATAGTCCAAATATTTCACTTTAAACCTACTTTTTTATTAATTTTAAAAAAAAATTTAAATCAGTGCTTAAGTTCAGTGCACTGATATCTGCTATACATTATCAGTGATGTTTAGGTAACTCCATCTGTATTATAATGCAGAGCTATACAGCTTGAGACTTCTTTGGGGTCAGATAGGTTCAGAAAAAGTTAAAAAAATCATTCTGGGTGAACACAAAATTAAAAGCTAAAGGTCGTTTTTCACATTAATAAGAACAAGAACAATAAGAACAACAATAATATTAATAATAATAACAATAAGAAGAATAATATTTTTTCAAATGAAAGAAATTATTTTAAATATTGGAACATTATAATTTGGAAAAGTCCACAGTTGCTCTACTTCTTTGTTGAGATTTTCATTTTTGTTGTCAAAACTATTTGCTGGCTTTGACATGAAATTGGAGACAAAGTACGGACACAAATCTATACTTTTCCATACATAAAGTGTAACTGAAAATACATGTAAACAGATGCATCAAGTAGCAAGATTATAAAATAAGGTCAAGCCACACATAGGCACACATATTTACTGTTGGCTTCTTTTATTTCAGCATCATTTGTAAGCAGTGCACCTCGAACTGATGGGTATAAGACATAGGGAGCTGAAAGGTTTCACCCAGGTCCTTAGCTTCCCACCGCATACTTGGGGCAGGCACGAGAGTTCTGTGCAGGCACTTGGCTAGCGCCAGTCCCTGGTGCTGGACCTGTCTCCCAAGGACAGGATGGTTTTCCCTGCTTTTCACCTCATTCTGCGTACGGGCAGGGGAAGGGGAGGGAAGGGAAACAGCCTTTCTTGCCCCAAAACATGCTTGTGGTTTGGTTGTGTGTTTTTTGCAGCGGCACCAGGAATTCTATGACTCTCTGTTCACCGTCTGCAGCAATTCCCCGCGCTCACTCATGCACTTATGCAGATGTGCCATCCGCGCGATACTCTCCGAAAGGTGCCACCGAGGGGTCCCCTTGCTCTCCATCCCCCCCTCCATGAAGAAGTACTTGCTGCTGGAGCCAGAAGGAATCATCTACTGAGCTGCAGCAGAGCCGGCCCCGAGTCCTCTCCCTGCCCAGACCCCCACGTCTCTATGGGGGGCTGGAGATCCAGCCACAATCCCTACGGGATTTACCGCCTCTCCCCGCAGCCACTGTCTTTCCCTGCATGGAGGAATCACAGCCACAGCCTGTGGGTCACGCTGGGGGAGTCAGAGCTGGAAAGCACCCCCCAAAAAACCCCCACACTTCTCTGCTTTGTTCAGCCTCGCTTAAACCACGCTGCTGCCCCTGCCTTCCCTATTTATTCCGCCGCCTGCTAGATAGCATGAGATCCAACCTGAACAACCTCTGGGACTGTTTCGCTGTAATTTCCTTTGGCTGTCATTTTGGGAGTGAAAGGAAAGGATGCCACCAGAAAACAGGACATTTATTAGTGTCGCAGAAAGGCTTTTCCAGAAAGGAATGGGTGGGCTGCTTTGAACGGTGACCACAGACAGGATTCCGACAGTTTCCAGATTTTCCCGCGGATTGACTCTCCGTGCAGTGTCAGCTCACTGTTCACTGCACCTCTCTGTGTCTTATAAAGCTTTGTCATAATAATATCCCTTTTAATTGTAAGCATTTTTTCCACTATCAATCACAATATTGGAACCTGCAGAACGGAAATCTCTGTACGTTGCTCTTCGTGCTCAGGTGGATTTTAGCAGACTCTGTCTCTGTTCCTGACTTCTCAGTGCATCTCAGACTGTGAAGCTATCGATCATCATTATTGTTATTATTATTATTATTATCTCTTTACAAGACAGCCCACAGCATGTTAGGCTCTTCCCAGCTGGACAGGAGGGGCCAAGCTGTTCAGGGTGTCTGTGTCTCACAAAGTGGCAATAGCAGCACCTGAAGAAATATTGCAGATTGGTTAGTGTTATGAATCACTTCTTGCTTCCTTTTCAACTCAGTTTTTGTGAACCAAGGCAGGAACTCTGTGTTAGGAGAGAGCCCAATTCAGAGCTCTGCTGATGTTCAGCTAGACAGCAGGGAAGATTGCTATTTAACAGTTTCTAGAGTCAGCAGAGACTTTCAAAGACAGCACAAGTCATGAGAAAATGCTTTCTCATACGAATGAAGTTGTAATAAATGTATACAGTTGTAATACTTAACTGATGAAAATTTCTACAGAGTTGGCTGAGGTATCTCTATTGGAGACACTACAGGGGCAAGTGATCAGGATCTGATTTGTCAGCAGAAAAATCCACCTGAGGCAGTTCCAGGTGATGGGGATCCACTGAGGAAAAGCAGTGAGTTTGGAAGGATGGAGAAAGCTTAGATTAGGTAAACCCACTGCTTTTCTCGATGGCTCACCTAAGTCAGGCGTGAGGAAAAGGATCTGCAAACTGGTCAAGGCAGGAAAATGTTTGTTGCTTTCTGAACAGCCTGGCACTGGGGCAAGCTGGATAGTCCAGAAGAGCCAGACACACGGAGGTAGCTGGTTTTATTGGGAACATACCCCCATGCTGCCTGCTTCTGGAAGTCAAATTCTGCATCTGGAAGAGGGAGGTTTAAGGCAGAACAATAGCGGCATTTTTTGACCTGTCGTAGTCAGGATTCTCTTGCTGAGAGAGAAGAAAAAAGGCTGTCACCAGCGATCCCAAATTCCCTCTGATCCTCCCCCTCTGCAGTGAAGATGCTTAATTTTTATTCTGTGGGCACCCGGCCTCAGCTCCCAGCTTTGTACCAAGCAGGTGCCAGATTATAGCCATTGTGGCGTCTGACAGGGAGCACAGTGGGATCAGGCTGATTATAGTCATAGGAATTTGCAAGCTGCTAAAAACACTGGAGAACATCCCTATCACAGGAAAAAAGACCTGATTGATGCACTTTAATTGCTTCTGTTGCTGGAGTTAGAAAGACCAACAGTAAGCAAACCTTATTATTTGATACCTTTTAGCATCTCTTGGGGTTTTTTTCTCTTACTGTACTCCAATCCCACGCAGCGGCTGGAGGTGCTCATGTGAGATGTGGGGGTGTCTAATAATAAGCTCATCATTTATTAACTTTATGGGATGCACAGTCTTATTATTCTGACTTAGTGTAGACACCTTGAAGTTTCATAATTTCATTTAACCCCTGATCACGCTTTTATCTTCTCAAAGCTGCAGCAGACTAGATGGCTGCGGGTGGAAATAATGAGAGACTGAGCTGTCACCCCTGCACAGGGAGTTTGAACCTAGCCATGACCTAAAATGACAGAAAATTGTTTTCAGGGTTGTTTGGTGCCTTGTATGAAATGGGTTGCTTTTTGCCATTTGTCTTTTTAGTGGAGACGTAGCCATGTTTGAGGCATTTTCACTGCATTTCACAGCCCAAAGCACGGATGGGCACAAAGAGTGAACTATCCTTTCCCGTTGGCAGCCCCTTCCCACACCTCCCCTGATGACTTCTCAGTGGACAACCACCAGATTACATTTTTTGGTCCTTATGCTTTTTGAGACATGTATACAAAGAGATGTTCTTAAACTACATGCATCATTGACAAAAGAATTTATCTCATCTATGGACATAGAGACACTCTGCATGTTTTTGTGGGCCAGTGCAGACCCATAATTCAGCTCTTCATGGAAATACCAACACCCTCTTTGTAAAGTGCTCTTGCAATAATTTTAAACTTAGCCCCTGATGTCTGATTGGATCCAGCTTGACTCAAAACTCCAATAATTTAACCACAGAGAGTATGTAGGCGAAACTGAAGTCTAATGGTGTTCAGGATTGTATTTTCCTGCAAAACCTTTAAATGTCTATTCACATGGGATATCCTTTAGATACTGGGACAAGGAGCCATGGAGCTGGGACAAGGAGCATGGCTGGTTCAGCTCTCCAACACTGCTGCTTGTCCTGCCAGCCTGGAGCCAAGAAGAGGAGACAGAGACCACAAAGCAGCAACTCGGGACTTTAGAAGAGGGAGCAGTACATGTTGATCAGTTCCTGCTCAGCCTCCAGCTTTAAACACATGTTTAAAACCTTCACCACTTGTCCTTGAGATGGGCTAGTTTCCCCGTGCTGCTGGTGGCAGGAGGGGAAGGGTGCATTCTCAGCTGCCTCCCGCTTTGTGCAGTGGTATCAAGGCCATTTGGGTTGCATGAGGCTTAGAGATGTGATAAGTAGGTCTTTTCTCTACAAAGGCAGCTTTGGATGAGTATTGACAACTGTCCTCATTGACTGGTTTGTTAACGTGCTCATTGCTGGTACTTTAAGATCATACTCAACAGTGAACATCACCCACCTCTACTCCAAAACCAAGCTCCCTGATGAGAGCCTGTTTCTTGGCCGAATGGCAACAACACTCAGCACCAGGACCTTCAGCACAAGGGGATGCTGGTTCCACATCCCTTGCTCCTCTCACAGTGAACTGCATTAAGACTAGTTTGTGTTACAAAGAGGAAAAGGTTGAAAGGCCAGACTAAAATATCAGGGCCACCCGGCACTGGCAGCCAGGATCTCCGTGTCTTTCTGCCCTTAACGTTTGAAAAGCCAGCAGAGGAAGGGGACGGGTTGCCTGTGCCCCTTTTCATGCTACTACATGGCATCATCACTGCGTGGAGGATCTTGTAAAGTTTTGGACCAAAACTCCTGACTACATGAAAGCAGAATGGTGTTGAAATGCCCATTTCCACTCTGGCAGCTCTGCTTGGGTCCGTGCGTGTGTTGGGACGCGTGTGCATCAGCAGGTGTGTGTGTGTGCGAGGAGACCTGCAGGGGTATCCCAGTCAAAACCTTTGATCTGGTTTCCATCCGAGTTTTTCAACCCAAATCAGGGTATCAGGGTTGAAAGCAATAAATTCCCATAAGGGTTTTGGCTTCAATGAAATTTTACTTACCCAAAACCACTTACCATCTTGAAAAAACATTTCTTTCCATGGGGCAATGTCTTAGAGCCGATGCACTAGTTTTGACAGAATCAAGTTAATTGCTGTGATCATGAGTCTGTATCAATCTCCCAGACTGAGCACGACTGAAAAATATTTTCACAAAATATCAGGAACACAAATATTAGGGGAGAAGGCCTAGTCTGCCATGAGAGGTGGCAGCTTTGCTTTTAGCAGCAAGCACTTCTGGATCAACTAAAATGGTCATGGGGGGTCAACTCATTCATATTTGAGGAACGTCCTTTGAAAACTATGCTCTATGCGCTAATGCTTTTGGCAGCATATTATGCTCTTGGGACAAATACCTTTAAATTAAAGATACAAGAGTTCAGCCTTTGAGATTGGAGGGAAGATTGAAAGAGTCTGGGGTGGCCTATGCTATTATATACCTTTATTAAACCCTGAGGAGCCCAAGAGGCATGGCAGCTCTTCAGCATGCTGGAAGGTTTGCAGGGCTCTTGAAGGGCTGCTGCTGCTTTTCTGAAACGCTACACGATAGAGATGGGTCGGACACAGCAATATTTCCATTTACTTTGAGGATACGGCAGCAGAATTTCCCTGTACTCCCCAGGGTTTACTCTTCTACTAAATAACAGTGCAGAACATGCTATTAGCAGAGCCTAGCTAGCGTCTGACACCTTAACCTCCCCAAGAATTATATTAAAGTAGTGGAAAGATCTACCACAGCCTCTATTTTGTGGAACGGCAGGGACTGCTGGTGGAGCAGAGGAGCGGGTCAGAAAAGATTGCTATATACAGCAACCGTCAGAGGAAATTGTTTGGCCTCTCAGAAATTTGTTTCAGGCTATTTCTCCAAACGCATCTTAAACTTCGTAAGACACAGAGGGGAAAGGGGACAATGGATATTACGCATTCCAATGACCTGACTGATTTTAATACACAGTTAACATTTTCGTGGCATGTAGCAGCTGTGTGTTGCCTTTACCTTGCACAGGCACCCTATGGAGTGCTGCTAAATTACAATTAAGGCATTTGAAACAAGGACAGCAGGGCAGGGGATGGTTTGTACACCACTGGTGAGCTGTTGGGTTCTGTTCTTTCAAACTGGGGCTGCCCAGGGATGTTGGTATCGGCCTTTTGCCCAGCGCCAGAATCACA